TCAGTAATAGGTATAAAACCACTAATTCATAGCCCCATTGCTTTCTATGTTAAATTCTGCAATTTTAAGCATTAATGGCTACTTTGTCTTAAGTTCAAATAAAGTAGCAGTTATTTCACGTCAAAACTATACCTTATCCTGACTTGTGCTGAAAAATTCAACATACCTTTAATTGCATATTAGAGCGTACTGGTTCCGGGAAGTTTGATAGTACAAAAACAGGTACTTCTAATCAGAACAACAGGGCAAATGAGCCCTCCTATAAAAATTGTATATACTTCTTTATTATTCAAAAGAAACTTTCAACAAGGGTTCTACAGTGATCCCAAGTCCCCAAGCTTTCATTTGATACCAAAACTACCCAAATATTCCACCTATTGACAAAGATACAGCTATGCGTAGGAACTATTTTGTTTAAAATATGTACTACTTTCTTGTATGTTCTTTCCGACCGGGCCTTAATTAGTGGTTCTATACCTGTACTGATCTTTTGAGTTAGACTGGTTTTTATAGTTCTTATGTACTGCTGTAAGACCACTATCACACGGTTTTTTTGTTTTTATTTTTGTTGGGTTTTTTTTGGGGGGGGGGGGGGGGGGGGCACTCACAAAAATATACCCCCGGCACATTTTGAATGTGTCTGTCTTAAATCAGGAGCATGTAGATCAGTGGTTTTCATTGGTTCATGTCTGTCAAATTTTTTCGGCAAAATTATTTTGTTATAAATAAGTTAGTTTTCTCGTTAAAATTGTTTCACCTTTTCATTTTAACTTTATCGTCTTTTATAGCCGAATATACGGTATAAGAGTTTTCTCATTGTTGGATGCTGTACGGTCATACCAAATAATTGGTTCAAAGGACACTTTCTTCATTTATCATAAAGTTTCCATTTTTAAAAGAAATGTTTTTCTTCATCTGAATCTTTACCAACTAGATTGTTATGGAAATATGCTTATTTGACAGGTCGATAAAATCGTGTCATGTCTCCTTTAAGGAACATGTACATATACAGGAATTACCAATATATTACAAAATTAACTGTAATTAGCTGGTGTGACATGCCCACAAATACTTAAATTCTGGATAGGTCCAACAGTCAGCAATCTTGAATCTAAAATAGGACATTGTTATCTTATTTAATTCTTTTTCATAGCAAATAAAATAAACTTGCAAAATATATAATAAATTAAAAATCAAAATTACAAACCATATCTGCATTTTTCCATCAAAGTCTCCAGTTGCAAAATATCTTTGCTGTAAACTTGATGCTCCAAATGTTCCACATTTCAAAGCTTTTGATTTCTCAATCTGTTAACACAAAAATTATTTTAAAGATTCATAGATAAAATGTATAAAAGAGTTTTTTTTTGTAATGCGATCCTTACTCATAAATGTAGGGTATCATGAGATTTTATGTTAGAATAGAAAGGATATGGGATGAATGTCCAGTATACATGAGACGAAAAATCATGAATACTAGTACATGTAGTCTACAAAATAGCAAAATTATCAAAGTATTGTGTTCTTCATCTTGAAAGGTCCTTTAAAATGAGCCCACTTTCCATTTGCTTTTTTAGTCATGTCAAATTTAATCATTAATTAGAACCATACCCTGAACCCCCATATATAAATTTGATAAAATTCTGGATCCTCACCTGTAGGTACAATGTATAAAGAATTTTCATTAGGGTTAGAAAACGTGTGGGAAATTGTGGTTTTTCCGAGAGCTGAAACAAAACTCCCAGATACATGTATGGGTAATACTTGGCCATATGATTTTAAAGCATATTGTTACACATCATTATAAGTTAAGACGAATTGCAATATCATATAGTAACTGTTATAGATACATTGTAGGTTTCGATTAACAAAATTTTAGCAAGCTTTACTTCCCTTTCGTCACCATGTTTGAGGTCTAAGTGCACAAATTCCTTCATAAATCAGTCAAAAACTTGTTTACATTGTAACTGACCGTTACACTTTAGTCAGTTTAGAAAAAGTTGTTTTCTGAACAATTCAAAGTTCTTTTAGCATGTTTAGCTTTGCTTGATTCATCAGCACAATCTAGTAAGGATATTGTTTGCATGACTTGTTTTAATTTGGTTAGTCAAATAAGAAAATCATTGGTGATCCATTTACCCCTAAGATTACTTTTTAAACCTACAAATGTAACTTATACATTTTGTAGTTTACAATTTCCAGCAAAACCTGATAACCTACAAGTAAAATGTTTAATAAAACAAACATGCCCCAATAACCTTCAGGAACTCATCAGATAACACCTGCCTCTTTTGAATGAGAGCAAATGAGTATTAGGACACAAAGAAACATGGGAGAACTCATTTGTTGGCAAATGAACCATTCTTTCGAGAAACAATTCATCTTATTGCTATTTGTCCGCCATTACTGGACATCACCAGTCAGGGGACTTATTGAAATAAGTGATTTTCAATCACTTACATTTATTTAAGTAGCAAATTCGAAGTTTTGTCACAAATTAAGATTTTGTAGTTTTACCAAAATTTTTAACACATAGGTTTAGATAATATCTTTTCATTAGTAAAATAGAAAAAAATGAACTTTTTGCTTCTTTTAAGCAGCAAGGTGTATATGCCTTTGATGCAGTCATTTAGCTGCAAATTCTATTTTAGTTGAAAAAATGCTATAAAAATGGCTTTACATAATGAACTGATACTTTCTTAATAGATTTTCCCAGCAGTGGGAGTATTTTTCCTGTAAAATTCAAGGTTTCGTCTTATAGATTATGTAATAAAATTCTACTGTTCGCGATCAAAATTTCACTGTTCGGGGTGTTGAAACTAGTGGGGGTTATTAAAATAATGATACTTAAAGAAGTGATTTTTATGAAGGAAATTGAGGTATGACACCTGCTTAAAAGTATCATATATTTGAAAAAGTACTTAAACAAGTGATTATTATGTCACTATCCTAGATTTAGTACAAGGTCATCACCTGACATGACCCGGTCATCCTATCAACACAGATGTTGGTTCTGATAATTTTACCAACATAATTAATCCTGGATCATTAGTATTCTATATTTAAAGCTACAATAAAATTAAATCACTTAGTCTAGTGATTAATTTGTACTACTTAAATAGGTGATTATTAAAGAAAGACAACTCTTTCTTCCAACCTTTATGGACATAATGTTACTTGAATCAGTGATTTAGAAAATCACTCATTTAAGTAAGTCCCCTGACGGATCACAAAGGTTCCCGTACAATTTGGACGCCATACAAATTAATAGAAACTACCTGAAGCCACAATGGAAAAGTGATTGTTGTATGACATCAATAGTTCAAGAGGCACAGATTCTCGGATCAAGTGACGCATATTTCCAAATAGCGATAAGGTCTATAGATCGGAAGCAAGTTAACTCGTACCATTGTAAACTCGTACCACGTAAACTCGTACCAAAAAAGTTAACTCGTACCAACGTAAACTCGTACCACTGGGAAGTCGTACCAATCAGAACTCGTACCACTGCAAACTCGTACCATTAAAAATATATTCAAAAATACGAATGTTTTATGATTTTTTTTTTGGTAAACTAAATAAAAAAAGTTGAATTACTTGAATTTTATACTAGATTTTAATGAAAACTTAGACAAAAATACGAATGTTTTATGATTATTTTTTTTTTAAGCTTTATACAAAAAATTAAAATATCTTTGAAATTTATACCAAATTTTAATGAAAACTTAGACAAAAATACGAATGTAATTTCTTAATTACCATGCTAATAAATATATTAAATTCCTTTGATTGTGTGATTATTGGTTGATTATTAACTAATCAACTTGTTTTTATTTATCTTTAACTAATCAACTTGTATAATCATATAAGCATGGTCATATTCTGCTGAAATGTGCTGAATATTGTATAAAAATAAATTTCATACTTTCTAACTGTTGGTCATAAACAATTTTAAACCTTTAAAACACAATCAATAAATTCGTTCATTAAATAAAATTCCTTTTAGAAACAATAGAAAAATACCCAAATCTATTCAATGTTACTGATTTGGAATGATTAAAAATTAAATCAAATAGTTGTCAGTAAAAGTTTAAAAAAGAGTCTATTCAAGGGAGACAACAAAGCCAATCTGCCACGGTTTTCTCTATCCAATTAGACAAGGAAAATTAGCTACAAATTGGTTATTGTAATTTCAAATTATATACATTTTACAGACTTAAGAGGTATTCAGTGAAATTAAAGTATATATTCATCATTAAACACCATTTGAATGCATTTAAATAAGTTGGTACGAGTTTACAATGGTATGAATTTACCGTGGTACGAGTTAGCAGTGGTACGAGTTTGCATTGGTACGAGTTTTTGTTTAGTGGTACGAGTTGACATTGGTACGAGTTTACAATGGTACGAGATAACTATAATTCTATAGATCTTGTCATAATTTTAAGAATCAGTGACACTTATCAGAGAATTTGTGACACTTGAACTATTGATGTCATACAAGCATCACTATTCTCGTGTGCTATCCGACATTTACTCTTGTGATGTCAAAATTTTACGTGATTGTCTGTGATGCCCAATAATGGCGGATAAATAACTAACGATAAGGTGTTTTCCAAAATGGTGGCTTGAGCCCAACTTGTTGGAGACAACACAAGTACAAGGTGACAGATAGTTGGGAAATTTAATCTAACTTACATCATGAACTAATTTAATATCACCATGTTGTACTTCATAAACTTGAAATGCTCCAGTTCCGCGTGCATGGTTACCAAGTACAATAAATTTTGCGCTACAAGGAATCCATTTTGTATCGAACAATGTGTAATTTACTGGTTTCTGTACATGGGAAATAATCTGTGGTTTCTCCATTTTTTTCGAAAACCTTTTCAACAAGGAAAGCCTGTAGAAATTCGATTAAACCCAATCCTGTAGCAACATGAAATTTCTTTTTCTTTCGCGAACTTTAACCGGAAGTGAATCTTTTTTTTCCTCATTACAGAAGAGCTCTTCACATGAAAACAGGTGTTGTTGAAATCAGTTATTAAAACGTTATTTTCACATTCTATAATAGATATTTAAACAATTCTCACTTCAGAAGTTAATCTTTGATGGATAATTTTCTGACAGAGTGGTTACATAAAGGTTCACCATAACACATGTACTCAAATCTACCGTTTATATATCTAGTGTCATTATTAGGTTTATCTGTTTACAGGCACTTGTTTCTGTCAATGGGGGGTTTACTATCTTATTTTTTTGTGTCCAATAATAAAAATCCAAATGATAAAAAGGAAATACGAAATGACAAATAAGTAGGACTCAGAGGTGCGATGGTCACACTGAAGTGCGATGCCACGATGGTCTGCGCCGAAGGTGCGATGATGCTTTCGCTGAAGTGCGATGGTTTGGCATGAAGTTTGGATATTATCATGTATGATGTTTTCGTAGGCAGGAGAATAAGATTTTTAGATGAAGGTTTCGTGCGTACAAAGGAAAGGAAACAGAAAGAAACGATTCAAGTCCTGAATAGGCAGCAAATCATGCAGAACAAGGCGACTTAAAGATGATCTTGGTCTGCAGACGGGCTAACCAGTGTTCGGAAGTACAAAATGCAGCAAACTGTTTGTACGACAAACACAATGTCTTGATCTTAATATTAATTTTGACTTGTCTTCAAGTATGCTTCACATGATTTTGTGTAGACAATTTAAAAATAAAAAAAATAAAATTAATTATTAGAAATGTTTTCGTTATATTAAGTCGAGATAATTTTGTTTTTTTCTTGAGATGAATCCTGCTTTGTAAGAAAACATGCACTCTTAGTAATTTTATTGTGATTACAGTATTTATCTTCTGCATCAGGTTAGGCCAAAATATACCCGAATGGTCCCTACATAGAGTACTTCTCAATTTCGGCTGCTCAGCAGAGAAGCAGTTAATTCTCAAGCTTTTATTAGAACACGAGTCATGTCTCAGTTAAAGTCAAGTATAAACGTACTTGGTGGTTTTTATTTCTTATAAACTGTTATGATATCAGATAAATGGATGAATGATTGTAGTGAGCAATTGCTAAGCTACGACATGACAAGAACAAGTTACTAGTATATTTAATAAAATTAAATGAACCCTGCTTATTTAATAACTAGTACTATAGACCGCCGTGCTGAACCTGTTTTTGTTTTTTTTATCACACTTGAACACTTAATAAAAAGATATGTCCTCCAATTCGAATCCATTATACTTTCCGAATGGATTAAGGCTATGAGGTCGTTGATACAAATCCGAATTAAGAAACTAAATGGGCCTATCAATACCCACGCTACGTCAATTTTTAAAGACCCAAATGTTGCAAAACACTTGTCCTACCTCCATGACAAATATGTTGTTGTCCCCGCAGATAAAGCCCCAAACCACATCGTTTTTGTGTGTAAATATCATTACATAAACTACTTGATAAATGAATTAGGTATTGACAATTCACTTGGAAACTTAACATATACCCTCACGACACTTACCAAAGAGGAAATCCTGGATAATCATAGGTCTGTTCTATGTTCCTTTGGAATTTCAACCAAAGATGAAGAACTGGATCTTCCATCACTGTATTGGATACCTAAACTACATAAGTGTCCGTACAAACAACGATATATTGCTGGGTCTTCCAAGTGCTCCACGAAACCTCTTTCTAAATTATTAACATCTATTTTATCAGCAATCAAAGCCGGGCTCCAAAGTTATTGTGAAACTGCCTATTTTAGAGGTGGCGTGAATCAGATGTGGATACTAAAAAATTCCAAAGATCTTTTAGAGTACATACAATCTAAGACTCTCTCATCTTGCAATAGTATCAAAACATTTGACTTTTCTACACTTTACACAAGTATTCCCCATTCCAAACTAAAAGACAATTTGAAAGAGTTGGTATTATAAAAATGTACTTTGTTTCATTAAAAAGAATGGCGAACGTAAATACAAGTATCTTGTGTTGGGGAGGGATAAATCCTACTTTGTAAAGAATCACTCTGATTCAAACAAAAAATTCTCTGAAACTGACATTATCAAGATGCTTGATTTCTTGATTGACAACATATTTGTTACATTTGGAGGACATGTTTTTTAACAGACTGTCGGAATTCCAATGGGAACCAATTGTGCCCTCTTCTTGCCGACTATTTTCTTTATTATTATGAGGCTGACTTCATACAGGAACTTCTTAGGAAGAAAGATAAGAAGTTAGCAATAATAATACAAAATTTGGTGACTATGTTGAACGTATCTATCCCATCGAACTAGAGATAAAGGATACTACAGATACAGTTAAGTCTGCCTCATATCTTGACTTACATCTAGAAATTGACAATGAGGCTCAGTTGAAAACAAAACTTGACGACAAAAGAGATGATTTCAGCTTCCCAATTGTGAACTTTCCATTTCTATGTAGCAACTTTCCAGCAGCGCCTGCATACGGAGTATATATCTCCAAATTGATACCATATTCCCGGGCTTGTATTTCCTATCATGATTTCCTTGATAGAGGATTGCTGCTCACAAGAAAGCTATTAAACCAAGAGTTCCAAATGGTGAAGTTGAAATCATCCCTTCGTAAATTTTACGGATGCCATCACGAGTTGGTTGACCGTTATGGAATAACTGTTTCACAGATGATATCGGATATGTTCCTTATGTTGTAACTACAATACCCTTCCCTTTTCACGAATGTGACCTTCCGATTTAGACTACTGTAAATTCAGAAATTATTGCGTGCATTTATTATTGCGATTTTGTCATTTTAGACTAAAATGCGATTTTAATTTTTGCGATATTGAGAAAAATCCTGTTTAATTCATATAAAAATTTCAAAATGCGAGATTAAATTTTTGCGATTATAACCCTGTCGCATTTTTCGCAATAATAAAAACATCGCAATAATTTCTGAATTTACAGTATTTACCAGATTTGTAATACATAAGCAACACGACAGGTGCCACATGTGGAGCAGGATCTGCTTACCCTTCTGGAGCACCTGAGATCATCCCCGTTTTTGGTGGGGATAGTGTTGCTTAGTCTTTAGTTTTCTATGTTGTGTCATCTGTACTATTATTTGTCTGTTTGTCTTTTTATTTTTGGCCATGGCGTTGTCAGTTTGTTTTTCGATCTATGAGTTTGACTGTCCCTCTGGTATCTTTTGTCCCTCTTTTATACTTAATCTAAACCTTCCAGTCTTATTTTCTACCTCCATACTGCTGTGTTCTAAGCGGATAATTAGCAAAAAACAAGTTAAAGTCTTTGGTTCCTTTGATTTGACCTGACCAGAAATAAAACCCGATCTTCCAAATGCAAGGCTAGCACACTAACCACTACACTGCCACATTAAATGGGGATCAAAATTCAGACCATCGCATTTAACTTCTATACACAAAGTCACAGTTATACCATCGTATTTCAGCATACCCACCAACGCACTTCAGCGTAGCTAACAACAAGTTACCGTCACGATATCCGCATCGCACTTCACCGTGTTAACCAACGCACTTCAGCATGGACCATCGCACTTCAGCGTGATCATCACAGTTCGGAGTACCATCGCGGTTCAGAGTCCTACAAATATAAACACACATGAGACAAATTATTCGGTCTAGGTTTATTATACATGTTATAACAAATGGACAAAATTGACTGTGTTTATCCTCAATTATTGGAAGTTTGTTACCCTAACTCGAAACAATAGAAAAATATCACAACCTTGGAGCAATTATAATCCACTGTGAATGTAAATATTCTTACGGTTCAAGGGGCCTCGGTGGCCGAGTGGTCTAAGTAGTTACTACTGTAATCACTAGCCAGTCAACACTGAGGTTGTGAGTTCAAACCCAGCTCGTGCGGGTGCACTCGACTGCAATCTTAATTGACTAGGATTGTCAGTTTTCTTATCGAAGGTCAGTGGTTTTCTCCAGGCACTCCGGCTTCCTCCACCAATTAAAACTGGCCGCCACGAAATAAGCCCAAAAGCGGTGCTTAAAAGTGGCGTTAAAACACCAAAAATCAAAATCAAATCTTAAGGTTCATGTAGACCCTTTGGTAAAAATAGTTGCGTTTTCACCTCAAAATTGAAAAATTGAAAAAAGTACACTGCAGACTCTAGTTAAGTTTTTAATTTTCTAAAACATAAAATGCATTTGAATTTTATTCATCTAGGGTATGCTATGCCTTAAAACTTTTCCAGATACACAGATTTGTATCACAAAAATGATCATGAAGACAATGTCTTCAATTGAGTCAACATGGCAAAAAAGAGTCTGATGACTCTATATAGGAGTTTTTGCCCTTAAATATGTTAAATGACTATTTTTTTACCAATTTTTGCTTTTGGGTTTTTTATCTTGAAATCTATAATATAAATAGAATCTGCTAAATGAAAAATCCAATTGGTCAGCAATTAAGTCAACATGTATGTAATTGTTTTTTATGCCCCCGCTGTAGCGGAGGGGGCATTAAGTTTTACCCTTGTCTGTCTGTACGTACATACGTCCGTACATCCCAAAATTGGTTTCTGTTCTCTAACTTGAGTTTGCCTCAACCAGATGTTATGAAACTTATACACAATGCTTATTACCACAAAACACAGATCAAGTTTGAATTTTGGTGGTGTCACTTTAACCGTTCTAGAGTTATGCCCCTTTATAAATGGAAAAATTGCAAATATTTTAGTTTCCGTTCTCTAACTTAAGTTTGCCTCAACCAAATGTTATGAAACTTATACACAATGCTTATTACCACAAAACACAGATCAAGTTTGAATTTTGGTAGCGTCACTTTAAGCGTTCTAGAGTTATGCCCCTTTATAAATGGAAGAATTGCAAATATTTTAGTTTCCGTTCTCTAACTTAAGTTTGCCTCAACCAAATGTTATGAAACTTATACACAATGCTTATTAGCACAAAATACAGATCAAGATTGAATTTTGGTAGCGTCACTTTTACAGTTCTCTAGTTACATGTTATGTTCTAGAGTTATGCCCCTTTATAATTTGTATTTTTTGCTATGATCTAGAAAATTTTAATAGATTATTTACTAAACATTTTCCAATAAATCAATCATTCTGATAGAGAGAAATTTTAGAAAGGATTATCAGTTATCTAAAATGTACTCTATTCTAAAAATTTGAGAACTAATTGAGAGGGTTTCATAAATAATCAAAGGAACATATTATAAACTTATCATTTCATAAATATAAAACACAGGAAAATGAATGTTTTAGTAATCCAACTTGAATATATTTTTTATGCAGAAACTGTTATTATTGAAGAGAATGTCTAGCACTATATCAGTATCCAAGAAAAGAAAGTCTTCATTAGACACAACTGCATCATATTCAGTTAATAATGCAAAAAAGAATAAGATGTCAAAATTATCCAAAAGTCCAGGCGATAAGTTACATGTGATACATGAAAAGAAAAAAGAGAGGGTTCAAGAGACCATGGAGACAGATACAACATCTGAGGAAAGTTCTGTTGAAGAATCTGAAGATGAAGTTGCAGATACCCAAGATACTGAAGCTGATGAATTAGTAAGTATAAATAATTTACATAAGTTTATACATTTGTACAACTTTAATGTACATGTAATGATGTTAATGACCAACTTTCTTAGATTAGTTTAATATGTGCTCTACTAGTTTAAATCACTTCGCAGTAGATGTTGATTCTAGTACAGTTTTCTGTTTAGTAAGGCTTAAAGGAGTTGATAAAAATATATTAGCCTCAGAGTTTAGGAAAAATCTGTATACATTTCACAAATTGACCTAACTGTACATTAGTCAATCATTCTAAAAATATTCACTGAACAAAAAGGCATTATATTTTGTACAAAACTCTCAAATTGTACTGTAATAAGTATAAAAAGTGTATCAACAGGAAGCACCAAAAATAATGGACTGAGAACAACAGATTACACTAGCACCTGACTCCTCCCCAAAAAAATTAAAGGTCATTTTACATGTACTAACAAAGACAAAACAAAAACAAAAAACATATGGTCCCGATAAAACTTGTCTTCTGAAGAAATGACATTCATTGTTAAATCAACAGTCATTGTGCAATGTTGTGTTTCTATTTTATTTTCAGATAACAGTAAAGCAAGGTAAGTTACATATGAATAAAGCAGAAGTGGGGTATACATCAGTTGGACAGCAAACAAAAAAATAAATAACCAAAAGACATCTAGACAGCTAATGAAAATAACATTATATTAGTTTGGTGCATGCAAAGGACTTTTTTGTAATTACCTTCATCAGAATGCTTTTAACATATAAAAAGATGCATAAATAATGGGGATCTATATGACAAAAGGGGACCTTAAAAGACTAGCCATAACCTTGTAAGGTCTTCTTTGCCTGTAGGAGTTTAAGCAAACGATTTTATATAATTTCTAAATTTATCAACCAAAATTTTAAGAAATGGTTGTAATAAATCATGTCAATGGCTAAACACTGACTAATGAGCTAATAATATCCTTAGGAACTGACAGTACACTATCAGCAGGATCAACCTGGTGCTAGGAAAGGAAAATAACCTTTCATAAATTGAGTGCTCCTGAAGCAGTTTCTGGATTTCACTTCTAACCAAATTTGTAAGCCAATAATGTGTAAGAAGAACTTATAATTTCATACCATCAGATTATTTTGTATGATATGCCTTTTTATTTTAGAATTATCAAATATGTCCTTTGAAGAACTAATACAGTTGAAAGAGAGGCTTGGTTTAAAAGTGTAAGTGTATTATACTTCATTGAGATAACAAAAAATCTCCTTTTACTTGAACTTGAATGAATTTCTGAAGTTTAAAAAAATATTCAGTTGAAGTTTTATAATGAAAATGTCAAGAACTCCAGAATGCCTTGATTTGTGCTTGTTTTTTTTATTTGTTGCTGAAATCGTCAGTGTAGTAAAGCTGAAATATACTCTAGCCAACTCTTGTGCTAACAATTTGAATACTTTCAGGTATAACCAGGTGGTACATGGAGATAAAGTTAAGAAGCCTACCTCAAAAAGAGTTTTTAAAAGAGAAAATAAGAACAGGTAACATTATCCAATAGTTTTTCAAAAAAAAAAAATTGAAAATGAAGGATAAATACATTCCTACCTTATTGGTACAAATTCACTAAGCAAGTTTTGAAAAATATATGACACCTATAATTTGTAGTGAAAGAAAGTTATCATTTCATGTGCATCATAACCTTGGAGATTATTTTTATACTAACATTTTTAGGGACCTCTTTTTTCATTTTTGTAAGAATAGAAAGTAGCAATTGCACTGAATCTAAAGGTTATTCAAAAGAAAAGCTTGTATATTTGGTTACATTATAGGTCACATGACTCACATCAACATGTTACTATGCATTAGACAACGGAAAAATATTGTAACAGAACATTTCCTTAAAGTAATAAAGTCACACTAATATTTCTAGATTTTCAGCACTAAGCATATATTAAAAATGATTTGATCTATTTATAGACCAATGGAAATGTCATCTAAAAGACCAGTGCGTTTAAGCAAAGAAAGTGATCAAGCCAAGAAGAAGGTGACTTATACTTAAGTCAATTGATGAAAAGTTATAATAGATACTGTAAATGGGTAGCACTTTAGACAACAATTATTGTTACTCATGAAATATTACCAGAGGTTACTTATTATGCAATGCTTCGTGTTTAATAAACAATATGTGATTTTCTTCTTTATCGTCTTTTAATTGGTTAGAATAGAATTGTATCCATATTTTTATCCCAGCAGCAGGGGTGGTGTTAAGTTTTACCCTTATCTGTCTGTACATCCATACCTCTGTCCTTCTGTCTGTCCATCTGTACGCCCCAAATTTGTTTCTGCACTCTAACTTTACTTTCCCACAACTAAATGTTCTGAACATACACAATGCTTATTACCACCAAACACAGATCAAGTTTGAATATGGGTGGCATCACTTTTGTTGTTCTTGAGTTATTTCCCTTTATTAATGGAAAAATTGATAAATATGCCCTTTCTGCACTCTAACTTTAGTTTGCCTCAACTTAAGTTATAAAACTAATATACAATGCTAATCACCACCAAAAACAGTTCAAGTTCGAATTTAGGTGGCATCACTTTTGCCGTTATTGAGTTATGTCCTTTTGTAATTGAAAAATTGCAGAATATGACTTATATTTCCCCTTTGGCATTTGTGGGCACATTCTTCATTTCTTTTTTTCTGATTTCATCACCATGATAAAATGCAAAAATCAAAGAAATCAGATGACTACTCACTAACAGACCACAATGTTGTGTCAACCACAAGACAAGAAATAAATGACTGACTAGACATAAAAGAAAAGTCATTAGAGTAATCCATTCCATCTATTGCATTGCATCATGTTTGATACAAATTTTTTTTTTTTTTTTGACTTTTCAAATTTCAATTGGGTTCTTTTGGATGAAGAAGTATAATTTCAGCAATTTGTACATTTTCCCTTTGATTTTACAGCAAATATTTTTAGATCAAGGTCTTGACGTGATACTTGAAAGTATTAGGCAGTCACCTCATGTAATGCAGCAATGTCTCTTAATAATTCAGCAATGTCACTTTTTCCTGTCAATCAATTTATCTCTGAACTGCACACGACATCACTCATACAACCGAACAACTATCACAATGCTTTGTAGGCTTTAAAATAGTTTTACTAACAATTTGTGTAATTTCATATTCTAAAAAAAAAAATAAAAAACATATAGCTAAGACAATTTGCAGATAAAAAGAATAACAGAATTTTATTTTTTGATACTCATTTCATCAATATGTATGTACCGGTACCTACATTTACTTTTAATACACATGTCCTCTATATTACAGATGACCAGAGACCCCAGATTTGATGACCTCTCAGGAGAGTATAATGAGAGTTACTTTAAATCTAATTATTCTTTCCTGTCTGATATAAAGAGTCGAGAGAAGGAGGTAATTAATCAAGCCATCGGCTTCCATGTTAAATTATACAAATGCAGTATCGAACAACAAATTTTTTGAAATACAGTCAAACCTGTATTTAAAGGAAGGTCACCCTTTAAAGCAGAGAAAACTGACCTTATAAGAAAGTTGACTTTTAAATTGAGGTTCAAATGCATGTGCAAATGTGGGACATGGCAACAATGACCTGCCAAGACAGATTTTTGCCTAACAGAGGTGACCTTTATAGGTTTGACTGTATATTTAGCAACACTTTTAGATCTCATATGGGTTCATGCAAGCTATAATTGGATTGCTATTATTTATCCATCACATATTTTGAAAACAAACCTCAGGATCTGGTTTTGAATGGATTAAAAGTATTACTTCTACAGGGTATTTAACAACCTTGACTATTCAGGAGGGGATAATTCATAAAACCTTATATTGGACCGCATATCAGTGTAGTTTTATATCTACTTTTAAAATCTGGACAGTGTAAATCATAGAACAGATTTTTTTTTGAGAGGAATAGCCTACCACTGAAAATTTTGTCATACATAATGAAATGCTACATTTATTTATTTTCAAATGACATATTATAATACTTTTTGGTAAAAATTATGAAAATATATTTAATCTTTATAAATTATTCCATCTAGAAAATCAAGAAGACAATGAAAAAAGAAAAAGATCCTGAAAAGAAAGTGGAGCTAAAGATGCTGTACAACAGAATGGTTAGTATTATATTGTAATGTTGATAGCATTTGGTATATGGAAATTACTATGCTTGTCTGAATACATGTTTCTCTCTTAGCAGGCAGGTGAAAATAATCAGCTTATATACTATTGTCCTAAATATAACCTGAGTGTTGATTCAATTTAGTATGTTCGTACACATTTTTCAGATTCCAAAAAAATATTTGTATCATTTGTAAGGACATACCCATTTACCTATTGTGTCCCATTCTGTATTATGACTGGATTTTCATGATCAGTGATGGATGCTTAGCAGGATATTCTTAGTCTGTTGGCCAACCTGGTCTCACTCCTTTTGGAGTTCATGCAATTTCCTTTATTTTTTTTTTATACCTTGATTTGTGTCTCCTTGATGAATTCATGAGTTTTTGTCCCCTGTAGAAACACCGGGCGTCCATCAGTCCATCTGTTTGTCCGTCCGTCCGTCCGGTCTTCTCAGCGCTCTCCTGTGTACTATTCTTGCCAGATTTTTATTGAACTTATATCATAGGTTTATATCAGCAATGTCTTGAACAAGTTCGAAAATCAGTGCTGATTATTTATTTTTAAAAGAGTTATGCCCCTTGGAAACATTAATTATATGGAAAATTGCATTGTTAGCACTCTCATACGAACAATTCTTGCCGGATTTTTATGAAACTTATATCATAGGTTTATATTAACAATATCTTGGACGGGTTCAAAAATCAATGCTGATTAATTATTTTTAAAAGAGTTATGCCCCTTGGAAATATAAATTATATGGAGAATTGCATTGTTTGCGCTCTCATATGTACAATTCTTGCCAGAATTTTATGAAACCTAAATCATAGGTTTATATTAGCAATGTCTTGGACGATTTTGAAAATCAGTGCCGATCAATAATTTTTAAAAGAGTTATGCCCCTTAGAAATATTAATTATAATGGAAATCACATTGCATTTGCTCTGAAGCCTTCATTTCTCTGAGATATTAATAAAAAGTTTTCAAGAACAACAAAAAAGTGCTTTTTTAGTTACTGCCCTTGTACCTTGGATAGATAACTCTGTTCTTTTATGAACATTGGTTAACTACAGTTGCTTCTAATGTATATAATATTGCATTTATAATTTTCTGTGCCATTTTATGTGAAAATTTTGAATATTAAAGATCATATTCATGTTTGTTGCATGAAATTCAATAGAATTATCCTGAAGATGGTCTGTAGATAAAAAGTAAAATCACAAAAATACTGAACTCCGTGGAAAATTCAAAACGGAAAGTCCCTAATCAAATGGCAAAATCAAATGATAAAACACATCAAACGAATGGATAACAACTGTCATATTCCTGACTTGGTACTGGCATTTTCAAATGTAGAAAATGGTGGATTGAACCTGGTTTTATAGCGCTAAACCTCTCACTTGTATGACAGTCGCATCAAATTCCATTATATTTACAACGATGCGTGAACAAAACAGACATAACAGGTAACATTGTCTAAATATGGGTACAGCAGTCATCACTGTGTCACAATCTCAAAACAAACAAACATTTAACAAAGAAGCACAAAAAGCATCTATCAAATATAACAACCACATTCATTGCTTACTTATATATGTATTATAAATCAACCTATAAAGGATATCACTGGAGTTTACATCTTCTAATATGAACAGGTTAACTTTAATGAAAGAAAATTTGTCATGTACCTTAATATTGACCATTTTGTGAGATGGGATGATGATGTTTCAATTTTTTTCTATAAAGGACCAGCAAGAACAATCAGAGATACAGAAGGACAAAAGGAAAACATTGGAAAAGGAATGGAAGAAAAAGGAACAGTCTCAAGTTCAGCAAGGAAAGAAGCCATTTTTCTTAAAGAAAGGTAGGAAGAGTAAACTATATTTTTCCAGGGTTCACCATGCACTTTCTACTTAACTTATCCCTTGTGACAAGTATCAGCAATATTTTACTTGTCCAAAAGGTCAAAACTTCTTTTCAAAATTTAGTTGCCTAAGAAATGCTAAATATGAAACTTGTCAATATAAGACAAATTTTCTATGACTAAAGTGCTACATGACAACTTTCATGTATTACAACACGTATATTAGATCCCTAATATTCAATTTGTTGTCAGACATATTTCCATGATCAGTATTGATGTTAGCACTATGGGCAAGAAAAATGCCCACAGTTAATGAATTCACACATAGTTTATTACTATCTTTTAAGGGAGTTTGATTTAAAGATAAATTTCAACCTTTTAAATTTACTTCTATTCAGATCTTGTTTAAACAAAAATTGAAACTTTCTTAATCATGATCCCAAAATTCCAAGATATTATTGGTATACTAAATTATTTAAGCAAACAATTCATATTCTTATTCGCCAATATCATTAAATGATCTATAATCAACAGAGGGAAAAAAAGTGAACTATGAAAATAAGTGAATTATTTAATGCAGTCAGTGATGTTGGATTTTAATCATTGAGTAGACATTAAGTTCTGCATTTCTGTTTGGTTTAAGAAAAAAGATTACTTGTGCATTGCAAACAGTGGGTTCTTCCCATTATGAAGTCAGAATTGTCTCTCTCATATGATTAGTATAAATTTGCATGAGTAGTAATATCCCTTTATAGGAGAGCTATAAATTTGGATTTACTATTATGTTTGCCATGATGAAATTGTCATTAAGATATATTTTATATTTTTTCAGCTGATCTACGCAAGCTTGAATTGGCAGAAAAATATAAGGAGTTACAGAAGAGTGGAAAACTAGAAAAATATCTTAGTAAAAAAAGAAAGAAGACAGCACAAAAAGAGAAGAAGAAACTTCCATTAATGTCCTAACAATTCTATCATATGATTATCAATTAAATAGTAAATAAACTTTATGGAAAGCTGATTTCTGATGCCTACTATGTGAATATAAAAAGAAGATGTGGTTTAATTGCCAATGAGATAACTTTCCACCAGAGACTAAAAGACATAAAAGTTAGCAACTATAGGTCACTGTACAGCCTTCAAGAATGAGCAAAACTCAAACGGCATAGCAATCTGTAAAAGGCCCAAAATGACAAATGTAAAAAAATTCAAATGAATGAACAGCCTGATTTATGGACAATACACAAAAAACATTTATGAATAGTCTGTATAAACTATTGTTGGCTGTAGTTCATTCACCAGAATAATTCTTTAATTACATGTTGACTTTAAGGCATTATTCAGCATGGCTAGTCTATATTTTTCTAGTTGCAGGATTCCTTTATTGGGTATAGAAAAGCAAGGCTTTTGATGATGATGCACAAGTCCTGAAATAATTAAAACTCCATAAATAACTTATTCAATAGTCTTTGAAATGAAATTGATTGGAATGAGATTAATAAACATTTAAACTTGTACATTTTTTTAGCTCAAGTGAGCTTTTCTCATCACTTGGCGTCCTTCGTCGTTAACTTTTACAAAAATCTTCTCCTCTGAAACTATTGGGCCAAATTTAACCAAACTTGGCCACAATCATCATTTGGGTATCTTCTTTCAAAAAGGTGTCTGATGACCCCGCCTCCCAAACAAGATGCCCAACATGGCTAAAAATAGAGCATAGGGGTAAAATGTTTTGTCTATTATTTTGAAAACCATTTTAAATAAAGAAAATCTGACAGGGGCAAAAATGTTCAGAATGTTGAGCTGTACCAATTTTTCATATACATTAAAACTGTCAGACGACTTTTTTAAGGAGGTATTGCCCTTAAATGACAAATTTTACCTTTTTTTTCATTTTTGCCTATTATCTTGAAAATTTTTAAAGATAGAGAGAGAAACTTTAAATTGCAAAAATTATCAGTAAGACAATTTCTACAAATAAATCTGCATAGTCAATATCATCAGTCGATTCCTTATTAGATTTATTGCCCTTTGATGACGATTTTTACAATTTTTTTGCATTTTTGCCTTATATCTTAAAAATTGTAATAGATAGATAGAAACTTAAATGAGCAAAAATGATCAGCAAGACAAGATCTACAATTTAAGACAACATGGAGGAAATCGTCCAATGACTCCTTATTTACGTTATTGCCCTTTAGTGACGATTTTTTACCATTTTTTTTGCGTTTTGCCTTATATGATATAAATTATAATAGAAAAATAGACACTTTAAATCACAAAAATGATCAGCAAGGCAAGATTTACTAATAAGTCAAATTTTACTGATATAGTTAGTAGACTGTCACTCTTTATAGGAGTGATTGCCCTTTATTGAGGATTTTTTTTACCCTCTTTTGTGCTTTGAGCAAAAACTAAAGATAGGGAAAAACTGAACAGAATAAATAGTCAGCATTACAAGAGCAACAAAACAGAGATTTTTGTCATGAGTTCTATTCTCGTCTACAATGTTGGAGAGTGTCCTTTGTTGAATATGCACATAGCCCAAGGTGAGCGACATGCTCTTTAGAGTCTCTAGTTTATTATGTCTAGAATCAATAGTCTTCAAAGGAAAATATGGTGTGTTAACACCTACACACACTTGTAGTAAAGCAAAGTAACATCACTTTTATTGCTGTTCTTCATCGTAAAGTCATAGTAATTCTTTCACCATGGTGCAAAATATCACATCCAACTGCAAGTTATATACAGCTCTTAGCTGTCACTGATTTTAACAGAGTTCTTTGCTAGATGTTGATCATGCTACATAACAGATACTGACCAATATCAACCAATTAAATGTTATAAATAATATAACAAATACTGTCATTAATTGCTTTCAAACAAGAATCAGGAACTTATAGCTGACTAATGGAATACAATATCTGGATATATTTATCAAGCAGTAGGATATGAAAGAAACATGTCCTCTTGCCATAAAAAAAGGATCTGTATTTTTCAAAATGAAAGAGTATATATGAATGAATGTGAGGTATACTTCAATGCACCACTGACCCATTGATAACCAAAAGAAATCAAGAGGTCTAACATACCCTAGTCTAAATAATGGTTGTGAATAAATTAATCTATTGAAGATCTGCCATCAACACCAAAGTCCTCTAAATAACAAAGAAACATCAAGAGATAAAATAAGACAAGCACTGACAAGGTTTCTTCCTTTGGACATTCTTCACTTGCCAAGGGTTATGATCCAGTCCCCTCCTCTCCAACCTTGGCGGATTGAGATAGAATTTAAGATCCACAGGTAAATTATTACCATTTGTCGCAGTTGTAACTGGCTGCATCCAATCAAAAAGCACCTTTAAGATGAGCATGTGTAAATGTAGAAAATGTAAAATAAACAATTGCCACATGCTGATTGTGCAGCAAGTCTTTACCCCCAAAACATAGGACAATATTTAGTAATAATTCTAAAGTAACTGTTCTTTATCGACTAATTAAAGTTCCTGGGTATGTTTCTCACGAAAATGTTGGAATGTCAATGTATATTTTCGGTTCCTGCTTCACAAAATTTGTAAACACTAGACACAACCTTTTTACACTTCCACATTGAAGAGAGTTCAAGTGCTGTCATTGGTCAAGAATAATGTAGTTGGAATGGGCGTGACTTTTATCTATCGGTAGATGGTGCAGCATTGTAATCAAAAATGATGGCTTAATCTGCCAAGGGTGAGAGGAGGGGACTGAATAGTAACCCTTGGCTAGCGTAGATGCCTTGGGATAGGCTAATAAACATTTGACAAGGTTAAACATTGTTTTTGAGATCTCCTCCTTTAAATCAATGAAATATAAGAATAATCTTGCGGTGCATATTCATAAGGCTTTGTCCTTGAAGTTTGAATTTACCACTACAAACTGATCAACTTGGTAAAGCATTTTAGCTCATGGCTTCAGTGAAAGGCTGTTAATATAAAGCAAGTGCAGTGTAATAAAAATAATTCTTACCATCCTATTGTTATTATCATTTTCTACCCAAATCTTGTGATTGACATGATTTATGTCAAAATCTAGGTGCAATTGTGAGTACCTGTATGTAAGGAACACAAGTCATAAAACAAGTATGAATTCATCGTAATGACATTTTATAAATAATTTGTATTAAAAATTGTTTCCATGGTTATCAAGTTATTTTCATGTTCTGAAAAAGAACACAAAAATGTATTTGTATAATGAGAGAAATTCTGAAACCACATTAAAGGGACATAATCAAAGTTGTATTCTGTAAATTTTTCTTCAATTTAAATTATTTCCCTTTTATATCAGATCAGTTATAACCAAAGAAAAAATATCCAAATAATATAATTACACAATAACTTCCTGTTAACAAACAAAGCAATAATTTATTTTAATTAACAAACAATTTTTAGAACTAATTATTCAAATTTCATGATGATAGAAGTTTTCATATCCAAGTCAAACTTTTTAAACTAGTGTTCCTTAGATTAGAGTAGGTGTTCAAAAATTTCAAATTTCATAACACAGACAGCGAATCACTAGAATTAGATGGGAAGAATAATTTGTATCGCACTGCACTAACTTCATATAACCTTTCACTTTAGCAATGCTTTACCAGTTGACCAGTTTGTAAAGGTAAATTTGAACTGCAATTGGGTGTAACATTTTATAAATTAGTAATTGATAGAACTTCTTAAATTATGCAAGAAAACTTGCAGGGAAAATAGGGGGTTGATTTCCTGGTTTCTGTTCTTTTACTTTTAACAATTCTGATCTTGAGTCAACCTTTATTGTAGCAATTTATTCCTTTGTTTGAATGAAAGTATAGTCAAGTGATATTTGTGTGTATTGTCAGATTAGGTAATTGTTTTGTGTATATATTTATATATTTGTCTATATATCTACAAATATCTTGAAGCCATGCCTTACCAATGGAGTGCATTTAATAAGATCAAGCAAAAAACTCATTACAAGTATGCCTACCAAATATTTTTGACCTATCATGCATAGTTGCTTAAGAGAAGACCTCATCAAGAAACTTTGAACCTGAAAACTGAAGCCAGAAAGTGAGTTCAAGGTCAAAAACTGGCTGACAAGATTTTATCAAGAACAACCTCCATACCTACGTGAAAATAAGGATATCATGTTGAAATAACCATATTTACTGCCACAGGAAAGGTAATACCTAAGGTGAGATATAATGTGGAGGACTTGTATAAAACCATCAAAAGCATCATGTGACATAAGCCAGACAAACATGCATACCTGGTACACATTATGATGAAGTTGTGACCGACCAAAAACTATCTTAAATATTAGTGAAACAGATCTACCCAAAAACAGACACAAATTCACAGAGTTCATGAAAAAGTAAAACTGAGAACATTTTTTAACACTAAATTTTAATAAAATTTTATATCACTTTCACACATCCAGCCATACAATACATGTATATACAATATGATACCCTAGCTATAATCGTAACAATTTTGCTTGTTTCTTTTCTTCAAGTTCTTTATCTTGTTGTTCCACAATTAACCTTCTTTCTGCTAAGAATTCTCCATATTCCTCAGGATCAAGGTCTTTGACGACTTCAATGCCTATACTATGAGCAGATCCTATGACTAACCGACAAATATTTTTAAGGTCAACATGTTCGAATCCTTGATCTTTACTTTTGATTTCGGCTATTTCATAAATATGCTTCACTGTCACCTTTCCGGCTATTTCATTTCCTGCAAAATAATTTGAAACTATTAACTGAAAAAAGACAATTAGAAAAGACACTAAAACAGGTTCCAACAGGAGCAAATCTGATTGAAAGGAATTGACTGTGTCCACCCTTTGCTTACTAGGATCTGACAAAGCTCCATTCTATTTTACTTTTTCATAGACCTTTTGGGATCATCTGGTTTTGTCGTAATGATACATATCTAAAAAATGAGAAGGCTGAAATTTCATTGGCTGATGTAATAATTACTAAAACAGAAAGTAG